GAAGGTAATTTATACATTATAAGTATTGAATTTCCAAGTTTTAGTGAGAGATAAAGTTAGATCATAATCTGATTTATATAAATCTGAAGATGATCTCAGAAATTAAAAACGTAAAATGAAACGTTATGGCAATATTAGAAACGTAACTTATGTACGGATTGGCTCATCGGGATACTAGAAAATTTTCCGGTTAACTGAACCAATATTCTTTACACTAAATGTTACGATTTTGCGATTAGCTTTAAAATGGTTTTTCTCGACATAAGGTACGTATAAATGAAGAGTATTCTACCATTAGAATACTATTGCTGTATTAATACCATATTACAGAATTCCAAGAATCGCCGAAATCCAACACAGAACATATGCAAAAACTTAGGGTGACTAGATTTCCAAATAATAAATCCGGAACATATTCAGTTTTGTAGGTCTTAAAACTGGGATGTCCCTTTTTTAGTGACGATTATAATCAGTCAATTGTGCAAGTAATAATTATCATCAAGTGGAAAGGAATATTGATCAGGAGTTCTTAAAATTCTGAGAAACTATCATTCATGTTCACCCTTAAGTTACCTTAAATAAATGCTTTGCAACTTGAAATTCGAGCATCGGCTGTGAGCAGCACTTGTCATTCACATATATTTGTCTCTTTTTGTTTTTGCGGGTGCAAATCACGTGTTCAGTAACATATGAAATAGTGACATTATGACGTCTGCTGTAGTCTGCCTTAAGAGGAAGCAGAAAGGCCATGCTGAGTTATTCCGAGTTGTGATATAATTTCCTCTGTTGATCCACGGTTGTCAGAGGCTCAAAGCACGGAATACAAGTGCAAAACGGAAAAAATTCCCTACAAAAATGAAAACCGGGATATTTAGGCGTTCTAAAACGATCTATCAAGATATCAGAAGAACATTACTAAAACTGGGAGTCTGGTCACCCTAAAAATATCAAATTAATTGGTGGTGTTGAAGAGTTAGAACCAATTATTCGCGATGTACTAAATAGATGGCTTTGCAGTAATGTATTTCTGAACTTTAGAGGCATCAATTTTTCAAAATATTTTACATGGTATTTGTATTTGTTTCTTTTCTGTTTCTTTAGGGCCACTTTCAGTGTTTTAATCCGCTCATGACCAGAATGTTTAAGCACTGAAGACGATCTTTACACTGAATGAGACACATAAAGAAGTTAAGCTTTAGAACAAATTGCGAAGTACTGATGATCAGCTGAAAATAAGGACTCTAATTAATATATTAAAGATTATATTTCAAAGAATATTGAAATACTTTGAATATTATATTTGGAATATATAGTTGAACCCTTTTTGTCACAAATGTTTGTAAGAAGCAAGGTATATAATATAACTAGCGTACAGCCCGTCAAAAATGACGAGACAAGTACTATTAACCCCTACCAGTAGCATACCCTAACCTCACATTTCATACCTAACTGAAATAAATAAATTTTGCGAAATCAAGCTTGATCAACAAAGAGGCAGAAAAGTGCAGTTGGGGCAGTCAAACGTCGGTAAATTCCATTGTGAGCAATCAAGATTAAGATCATTCATAAAATGAATTTATGGCGTATTCATAGAATAATTATTAGTAAAAATCAGTTAGATTAACAACTTCTAATATATAGAAAAGCCAGTGGGTTTTGGTAACACTACATTCCAACAATAGCTTTTATGGCTTGTTGCTTAGCAACAAAAGTGTAACCTAATATTGTGGTTAGGATATGTACTGAAAGTATAAAATGAAATGTATAAATAACAAAACTGGAAAAATATTTGTTGATTTCTTAATTTAGAGTCTCCACTGATTAAAGAGGTTTTTTTTTAAATTGAAAACGTTGGTGATACAACAGAAAATAGCTTAATTCAGAAACAATTTAAGTTTAAAATTGAATCGATATTTTTACTTTCATGATCAATTTCATGCACTTGGCTCTAGGCTAGGTGATCCGACACTATGTATTATATCAACACTCACTACACTTATAAGGTTTCACGGCATACCCCTCACGGCCCCCTTGCACCCCCGTTACTAAAATCGTAATGGGCAGACAGTAATCGAACTATTCTATCTGGATAAATGCATTTTGGCTATTATGACTTCTCCTGTTTCGAGTAATCAAGGGAAATCAAACGCGACGTGACACACATTAGCTTTAAAATAGGTTACATATCAATTTCGTTAATTAGAAAACAAAGTAGTTATAATTTACTTTATCAAAAATGGAGAGTAAAATCTTTATTGACAAAGACAGAACAAAAAAGAAAGGTTGATGTATTCCAAGAAATTAAACATATATTTTTTAGTAGTCTATCAACTTATAGGGTTGGTGTTTATTTCTTCATTAATGTTTCATGAGACGTTTTAATTATTTATTACTTGGGGTTAATTTCCTTAGACTGAATAACTTCTGAAAAAAAAAATTCCCTCATATTTTTGTGGTGTGTGTATATTGCCTTATTAAGAATAAGGAATAATAAACTGTTTGCACTTGTCATGATATAAAAGACTGTTTAGCGTAGGTTGTATTGATTAATTATTTTGTGAGTTACTATTTTATAATTGTTTAGTGTGTTTTTTATATAATAAGACAGTTAGAAGCAGATGATTGTTGGAAGTTGTGTTAATAATTCATTGATGTTGAGACTATCGAATGTCGCGTGCAATACTTTGACGTTTAGAATATAGAGATTTGTAGAAAGCGGGCAGACGATAAAGTGATAAACATGTAAGTAGTGTGAGATAATCGGGAACAGCAGACAGACAATAGCAGAAGAAGGTAAAGTTACGGAAAAGGAAAAGTTCGGCGTGGAGGTAACTGTTGTAGAAGTGATAGGCCTAACTATTAACATAGGCCTAATGTTTAATATGTCAGAGTAACACTAACAGTAAAAAAGGAAATAAGAATAATAATTTCTCTCGTCAAAGGGTGTTCTAAAGCAATTGAACCTGTCTGTGTGGACTTTGACAGTAAAAAAACAAACAAACAACAACAACAAAAAAAAAAAAACAAAAAAAAACAGACAATTATTGCAAGTTAGATCAACCAGTTTAAAACAATTACAAATGAAACTGGCAGTTTTATGGGCAACAGATTTAGAGCAAAATATCTTATGAATTTCAAAAGCTGGTCTGCCGAAGACAAAGTTGAAAGACTGTGGTTCTGTAGTACGGTACATTTTATATTTTCTTTGTAATTGTGTTTACTTTCTGCACATGCAGTGCTTAGTGTTTATTTTTTTAATTTTTGTCCAGACAGTGAAACGTTTCTTTTATTTTACTATGTGGAATATCCGAGCGCGGCCCAGTGGTTAGCGTGAAACTGAGGCTCTTTGGTTCAGGTTCCGTTCACATTTTTCGACTGGAAGTGCATTATAAGAGTGATAGTGAAATCACAATTTTCTATCTAACCAGAATAGCTCAAGAGCTGGTGTTGGGTGATGTTGACTAACAGCCTTTCCTCTAGTTTATCACTTCAAAATTAGGGAGGGTTAGTGGAGATAGCTCTTGTGAAGTTCTGTGCGAAATCCAGCAAACAAACAACCAAACTACCTGGAAAGAGAATTCTTTTATGAAGTAGAAGCATGTTCTTTATTGCGTCAAAGAAAATTAAATAGCTTGCTACTTAAATCAAAAGTAAGTGAATTTAAGGTTTTGTTGAAATGAAAGAAAAAATAATTAATGTATACAAAGATAAAGCTAAAAGTTAAAGGTATTTTAATATAGTAAACAAAAGTTTACACCAGCTTCTCACACTCAAATGTATTTTTAAATCCACTTGCAAAGATAATAGCGTAGTGAACTGTTGGATAAATGTAAGATTCAAACATTAAAACTATTACCTTGGTAAATTAGATTATACAACTATTCATGATGTGCATAAATATTTAACAAAATAATATTTATGTCGTAAAGTTTATGTTGTTAAATCGTTAAATACACAATATAATATACAACTAATATTGTTATAATGTTCATAAGGCAATTTTCTGTTTAAACGCAAAACGGCACAATAGGTCGTTTGCACTGTGTCCACTTCAGGGATCGAACCATGCATATAAATCGAGTTTATATCGTCGCTTGATTAACAAACGAAAACAGCAGAGAGTTTGAAAGAGGATCATATAAAGCAAACGAAATCATTTCACAGTCTTCAATCCTTTCAAATCTCAGAGAATAAATTATTTCTTTATGAAAATATCATTTATGGTGCACTGTTTAAATCTATTTTAAACTATCGATTGTACCTTGTTTAAACCGCTGTACTGATTGTGTTTGTTTAAAGCTAAGCACAAAGATACACAATGGGCTATCTGTGATCTGCCCACCACGGGTATCGAAACCCGGTTTCTAGCGTTATAAGTCCGCAGACATGCCGATGTGTTACTGGGGAGCCCACTGTATTGACTATTTCTATAAAATTTTGAAACATTTGTTTGGGATTATTTTTTACAAAATAATGAAACACTTGTAGAACATTAGCAACAGACTGTTTTTGTGGATTTGATAAAAAAAAAGAAGAGAAAAACCAGTTTATGAATAGAATCCAAGCTGGTGACCTAATTTTACTTGTTTTTAAATCAAACAATTTTGAGTATAATTATGCTTGACTGCTGATATATGATTTAATGTGTTTGGTTCAGACCCTTGCTACAGATCATAATAACGAATTATTTGAGAATTCTCAAAGAATTACTGATAAAGGATAACAAATAATACATTATATAACATGTAACATACAACGTGTAACATGCAAATAAGATACTTGTAATTAATAAGCATAAAGTCTCCATATTTTATCAACATCGTGTATCAGTAAGACTAACTTATTTTTTATGCTAGCTTCCCCCTTCTTTCCCCGACGTTCTGACTTGCAGCGGGGCTCGTTGCCTAATGTGCTCAGTTCTTCGTCTTGCTACTAGATGGCTTGCTCGCGCATCCAGCTTGACAATCGACTCTCTTCAGACTTGCTAGTGAATACGGAACTACAGGGGGCGAGTACAGCTTTTCCGTATGACGTTGTTTTCGTGTGTAGAAGAGATCTGAAGAATTATCAGTTTGGTTTGGAAAGTATGGACTTGCTCTGAGTACAGTGTTCTCCAGATATTTCGCACTCAACCGACTTATAAGAACAATTGCAATGGTATGTAAAAAGCTGTTTAATATTATTTCTTTGCTAACGTCCTTCGGTCTGTTTGAAACGTCAGTATTCGCTGTGAATATTGCAGATCAAGAAGCAGACATCCTGCAAGTGGGTTGAGAAAGTCGTTAGAATTACAGTTTAGAGTCATTTATTGAAAAATCAGACAGATCTGTGTTTCTATTTTATGTATAACGACACCCAGAAGATACTTGTATAACGCAATATACCCCTTAAATCTTATGTATGCATAAATAAATTAATTATGATAATTAAATGAACTACAATTTTAAAAGATAATAATAAATATATTTAGTTATAACGATAACCCATTGCTGACACGAAAGAATCAGGTAGGCAGCGAAAGTACCTATTACATGAATTTAATAGTGATTTAATTAAATTATCAGTTACATCTAGACGTAAATTACTGCAGTTCATCAAACCTTTAATATTACAGTTGATGAAATGCTGCATCTGTTTATTTCTTTGTTGTTATTCAAAAACTTTTATGTTTTTTTTTACAATGATTAAATGATAAGTCCTATAATACGTCCAATGGGCTTTAGTGTTTGTCATAGGTGTGTTACCAGTTTTCTTTATATACTATTTTCTTATTATTTTTACAAAATGTCCGAAATAACCTTCTTGTGTTCTAAATAACCATATTTGTTCTAGATGCAGTATATTATACACGAGCTTATAACTTTTGTAATTTTTAAACACATTTATTTTTTCAATTGAATATGGTTTTGTATATAATTAATAATTTCAAGTCTTTCATCATTGAAAGCTACATTTTGTACATCGTACTCACACAAAACAACAATGAACATTTAATAAACACAATCACTAATACGTGTAATGAGCAACCTGGTACCCAAGGATTATGCTTCGATAAATCTCACTTTTCCTTTCAAGCTGTTACAAGAAATTTTTATTTTCGTATCTCGTTGATTTCCCCATTTTTTTTTTTTTAGGAAGAACGAAACAATACGTTCAACACTTTGCTGCCTACAATTTCAAATACAATTTATTGTATGCCAGCCCCCATTGACTCAGCGGGTGCTTGAGGACTTGCACGCTAATAATCGGGTTTCCATATCTCCTGGTGGGCACAGCGCAGATAGCCCATTGTGCAGCTTTGCGCTTAAACACACACAAACAAACAGTATTTTATCTCATTATTACATTGATTATAGAATTTCAATTTCATAATAAGCATAAGCACATTTCTTTACAAACAACTATTACCCAACAATTATCTGTACAGTGATTATTTCTGCATATTTAATTGACACTTACACCTTTCAAACACTTAGTAAGAATATTGTACCAGTTTTTGAAAGTTAGGGAAATTTTTCTTTATAATCATCTCTTACTAAACTGATTTTGTCTTAATAGTTTCTGACAAAAGTTTTGTTTTAAAATGCACCGTTAAAGCTGTGTCATGAGTGCATGTTTTCGCATACAGATAGAAACCTACTTTTTCTAATTCATCGCAAATCAACAACAAACATCACAACTTTTACGAACTTTGTCAACTTCAGTTACTTTGCTTTGACGAATAGCTTGTCGAAAAGTAATTTTATGTTTACTCTGTCTTTTATGGTAAAGGAATGTTTTTTTTTACCACTAAATTTACACTTAGTCAGAAAGTTTATCACTTTGATCAGGTTCTGAGCTTAAAACATTCCTGAATTATGAGCGAAAAATATAACTTGACAAGATCTGAAATAGATAACTTTCAGTGTTCAATTAAGATAGGTTACAGCTTTTTTTTTATCAATTAGTCTACTTTTGATGAAGGTTTGTTTATGAGGGAATGAACTTAACTGTTCAATCTTTGTCGAAATTAGAAATGTTGTATCTGGTTTCTCTCACTATATATATTATTTCAGAAAAACAAAACATTATTTTAATCACATATTTTAACCTCTCAGAACCTGCTACAAAAATACCGAAGCTCATGATCAAATATAATGCGTAGTGACAGACGGTAATGATCGTGGTGTTATGTCGATTAAAGTAATGGCTTGGACTATTTGAAGCGTTACAGATATGTAATAATACTTGTGTAGATTTTAAATCTAATGTGTTGTAACTAACAGCAATGATCGTGGTGTTATGTCGATTAAAGTAATAGCTTGAACTATTTCAAATTTAATGTTACAGATATGTAATAAAACTTTTGTTGATTTTAAACCACGATCATTGCTGTTATGTCGATTAAAGTAATAGCTTGAACTATTTCAAATATTGTAACGTTACAGATATGTACTAACACTTGTGTAGGTTTTAAATCAAATTCAGATGCGAATTATTTTTCAGACGAATGAATTTATCAATCAGGAAGAGTGTTAAAATGATTTTCAACATATTTTTGGAGTAAGTGTATGAGAATAGTTTAATCATTATAATGCCGGCATACAGAAATTATTAATCTCTATTGGTCTGTACGTACACACCTCGAGTAAAGACATACAGAAATTATTAATCTCTATTGGTCTGTACGTACACACCTCGAGTAAAGACATACAGAAATTATTAATCTCTATTGGTCTTTACGTACACACCTCGAGTAAAGGCATACAGAAATTATTAATCTCTATTGGTCTGTACGTACACACCTCGAGTAAAGGCATACAGAAATTATTAATCTCTATTGGTCTGTACGTACACACGTCGGGTAAAAGAACGCAATATACTCCAGTGAACTAATGTTTGAAAACAATTATTTGGGAATAAACTCACACCTATCACTAACTATCTTTATAATCCTCACAAACAAACACAGGATTTAGTTTTAAGATTCGATGTTCATAGCGAAATATCTTTGTCAACGTTGTAGTAGAAGGAAAGTAAAAGAATTCGTAGTGATTCTTCCTCTGGGCTTGTTAATCTACCAAGGATTTAGTGATGTCAACGTAAGAGAATGTTTTGTTATTTTCGCGGAAAAGTAGTTATGAAGGACATGATTTATAGCGCAATTGATAATGAAAGAAGATAAATGTAAGATAGATATCTGATTGTAGGATAAAGTTTAAAATCTCCATACCGTTTACGATTCTGAAATTATTAATAATATTTAGCATAGGAAGAACTTAGCTTATCATTCGTTTAACAGTAACATTTGGTTATGATATAGGAAAGCTAATTTATTTTTACTTAAAATCATGTTTCAAGATATATTTTTAGAAATCTCATTTCGAATACTTTTTCGAAATGCCTTTTCTTGAAATTATGTTACAGTTAAAAAATGATGTGCATTATACCCAGGAAAAGAGTTTGTTTCCCGTAGTTCCGCTTTACAGCATTACTTAGAGGAATTAGTGAGAGTAATTAGTAGTTTACGAACATGGAAGAGAGAGAGACGTACAAGCAAAGCTTGAACAAACTGTTTAGGATACTAAACTACAGTCCAATATTAGAGATATATTTGTTAAAAATGAACTTATGCTCAGGGTTCAGAATGAATTTTATTGTGTAAAGTACTTAAGTTTATATTAAATTCTGGAGGCCAAAATCTCGTGTTAATGTATGAGAGATAGCATGAGAATACAGTCAATTATATCACAAAATAGTGCAGCTACATCGTCTCTATGTACGGAATGTCATTACGCCCTTGTTGGAGGTGTCGAAAGAAGCGTACGACCTGTTAAATAAATTTTTTAGGGTACCCGGACTCTTGACATTCTGGCATTTGAATGTGTACGCCGCCTCAAAAACAGCATCTTATCTCATTAACCTGTAAATTTCTACCTCAAATAAAATTATTAATCTTGTAAACTAGAACAAAATAAAACTTTTCACTTTGTTTTTATTAGCTTACAAACAAGGCAATTTGAATAAAGAGATTACATGCTAGTTGTTAAACGGAGTTTTGAGGAAGACTGTCAGTGCAATCATAAATTCTGTCACATTTAATTATTATAGTCTTGAAATGGCAAAGTAAAGCGATTATTTTGAGATTGTTGATAGCCAGAGTATAAATATAATTATCCCCATGCACTAATTTGAACCTACATGTTATTAAAGTAACAATATCGTTTTCTAAAATGTAAATCAAGCTAAACCTCTCCATTGGTAATTTCACAACGATAAAGATCGACTAAATGCTCTTACTTACATTCATTAACTGTATAATATCATGGTTGACGAGTCTTTTACACATATTATGCACTACTGACAAAAGTAGATAGTTGAGAAATGAAATACGGACGTTTTTCTCCAGGGCTGCTAAGATCCTAAAATCCTAAATATGTCCATAAAAGTCTGTTTTAAGACGAGTTTAAGCTATGACGCATTGAAAGCTATATGTACAAATAAACATAAGAATGAATGCATATTATCTGTACTTTATGCCTGTTTTTAATAGATGTTTGGTAGCTTTTGGAAGGCTTACATTTCATAACTGAAGGAACGAGATAATTTAATATTTGGCTTCTAAAATGTTTAACGTTAGGCCTAATTTGAAAGTCCACCATGACTGTTAGTTTTCTGTCAACTAATAGGTTAGTAAGCTCAGAAGTTCAGCAGGACTAGTATTCTAGGATTAAAGAAATAAAATGAGAATATGCTAAAATTCGGCTTAAAAAATACACACACTATAAATCTCTCTCCGCGTTTTTCATCTAGATATTTATAATCTATTTTGAATATGGATGTTTTTGTTGCTTACCCGAAGTCATAGTCATTCTTGACTATCCTTCTCTTGATTTGACTTATAAGCCATTTGATGACAGTAGAATTTTCACAATTATATTATGCACAGGATTTCTGTGTTACTTGTGCTTTAACATTTCATGATATCATCTGTTACTATCGGTATAGAAGGCACTGATTAAATGCTCTATCAGCAATGGTGGTAACATGAACTTTCAGCGGCCATATTGATGTAATATCATTAGTGGTGTTAATAGAAAATGTCAACAGTCACAGTGGTGTGACATCAGTAATAGCTTAATATTTCTGTATGCCGCTGTCCTTGGGTTTTAATAGTT